CATCGTCGTCGTGGTAGTGACCATTGTTACACATATTGTGTCATATCAGACGAAAATTACATCGGAAAATTTGCATCAGTGAAGATTCCAAGATGAAACGTGCAAGCGATGATGCGTAGATGTCGGAGATGTTCTGCTGTGTTCGGCGCTTCTGGAGCTTTACGTGCTTGAGTGTCATGGAGCATTAAGCTGGCATCCAGTTTAAAGTGTGGCGTAATAGCAATCGTACGCTCAATATGCACATGAAGAAGCGGTTTTCTTGAAACGCATTTCCATTTACGCTACTCTCTTGGCAGATATCGTATTTTGGGATCGAACTCATCAGCGTTGCGTTAGGCGCTCCCGCTAGCCGGGGTATCCTGACGAAAGGTCGGAATGGCCGGGCTCATCATACTGCGAAAGTCAGCACAGCTCCGCAGTGGCGGTGAGTACGAGCAAGGTCAGCTCCAGTCGCGTGAAAAGCCGACTGTGACCTGAGTCCGTGAAAGCCGACTGTGACCTGAGTCCGTGAAAGCTGCTCCGAGGGCGGCGCTCCTGGTTCAGGTGGCGCTACTATCACAACCTCTGCTGGTAAAGGTGGCAGGTCGAGCAGCCAATGCGGTGGCAATGGGAGTCCATTCACGGGTGTTGATTTGCCTTCCTTTGTGAGGGTTCTCCCCGATGTTGAGTTGCTCCCCCCCCACACACCCCCCATTTTGGCTTAGGCCCCTCCCGATGTTTTTGGTTGGAATGCTATAAAGGCGCAGGGATAGTTATCATCACATAAAGTTTTATCATTCTGCGTAATAGTGCCGCGGTGGAGGATACAGATTCAGATATGTTTGCCAGGCACCTCCATTCCATCGGTTAAATGACGTATGCGTCAATACATGATAACACAATACAACGCCCACAATGTGTGGGTAATGACAGTGTTCAATACCTGATAGCTTAAGCGCGTATGAGAAAAACAATCGCAATTATCCACACACAGTATAAATCAAAGATGATTCGGGAAAAAATGGGAGGTAAGATACATCGAGGTAACTTGGCTCCCTCAACCATAAAGTTATTTCTTCAAATGATGGGTAGCTTGTGATGATTCTCTAGTCTCGTGGAAGGCTTTATTCCAAGCGGTCTTTCGTCGGCTCCCAATGGAAGGCTATGAGCCTACCACTGTTTCACATGAAACCCAATCTTTTTCGGTATAGTCTGATGAGAAAACACAATCGGACAATAAAATGTTATTTTTGCTGCGGCATCGTTGGTTCGAAATATAGGCCCAACTATGAAATCGTATCCTCAGTACACAAAGCCAGACGAGAGTCCTACTAGAACATATTTTAAATGCGATTTCGTACTGAAGTTAATCATCTGCTTGCTTCCCAAGCTACCATCCTATTCTTGTAATGCAGGTGCACCGGCCCAGTTCTTCTTCGGGCCCTGGTCGAAAAAGCACGAAAAGACCTTTACCGTGTAATGAAATAAAATGACTCTCGGCTGCACTGTAACCAGACTGAAACTGTTGAGCCAGCGTCGGCAAAATGGTTCTCTTTGGCGAGCCATGTACGCACGCTTGTTCCCGAAGACGAGCCCTCCATCACGCGTCTCGCCCCATCACGCATGTGGTCAGCATAGCTTCAGCGCTCTATACAAGTTCGGGTTCGGCAACGACAATTGGTGTGACTTTGCGACAATATAGTTTTTTTGCGGGCATTTTGCGTGTTGCAACTGACGGGTTCAAAGAAAGGCAATGTCAAATAACCGTCGCATCACGAACTATTTTTGCCCCAAGATATTACAGGTGATCTAAAAAGCAGTCAGCTACGCTAAGTTTGGATAAATGCATGTCACCACTAAAAATTACGTTGGTATTGTTGCTACGCATTTTGCACTGACACTTGTCCACAACTTTTTGGGTTAAAATTTTGGTAAAGCTTGGGTTTCATCTGTGCTCCTATGATAATTGTGTTTTGACATGTACCATTTCCGGGGAACTCACCTGTTCGAGTTTAAATTAAACTTTCAGACGGCAAGTGCTTCGTGGTGTGGGGCAGGAAATGCTACCAGTTCATAATGCGCAATCGCACGCATTTAAGTGAAACATATTTTAAAGGCTGGTGTATTATGGCTTTTTTATGCTTAAGGAAGGCAAACCTACGTAAAATTGAAATGTCTTACTTAATATGGCATACCTCCATTTCACTGATATTCATGATATGAACTCACGTGTGCCAAATTTGGAAAAAACTTGTTAAAAATATAATTTGAACTTTGGGCAAAATAAGGCCAAACTTCACATCGGTATCCAAAACTCCTCTGGACCTCTTCATCCAACCGCTTGAACCATAGTGACCTGTTCTAAGCAAAGGGCCATAGGTCTTTGCTTCAGGTCAGTGACCTTATCTGAACATTAAACGGTCACGGTGATTAACAATGTGTCAAGAAGCTATACAACATATAAGCCTATATGCATTGTTTTGCTCTTTTTCGAAACAAGCATGAATAAATACAGTAGGCGGTTTGTTCTAAAAAGTACAGTTGCTAGGGGTCATTTTAGGTCAGTGATCTTCTCTGAACTACAAGAAATCCATATCAGATGTCCGTTGATGTCCCAGTAATTAAGAAGTTCAAACGGAGTATCAAAAGCTACCCCTAATAGCACGTTCGTCATCGCTAAAACATTTTGATTTTGACCTCAGTTTAAATTTTATACTTGACCCCAATTTCAGTGGGGTTATCCATTATTCTAACTTAAACTGTCTAGCTATCTAGAAATGTACTTCAGAGATGTATGTCTTGGTTTAACATGCTGTCACATCAGATTGAGCGATTTCCCAGGAATTGCACTTGCTTAAATTCATGTCCTGATTTGGACCTGCCATACGTCGGCGACCTGACCAGGTACATCAAACTGTCTATGCGTAAAGATCCGTTATTCAGTTGCCTGCAGCTACGCAAAATCTGGCCAAAGCTTGGTCGTTAAGAGCCGAATGCTTAACTCACTATAGAAACGTTTGCTTGTTGTATATACACCTGCCAACACTGGAACGGCCACGCCGCGCCGGTCGGACATTATTTTGGGGAGCGTTCGGAGGGGGAGTAGGCTCAAGTCGATCTCCGACCCGAGTGTGTGCTAAGAATAAGTAGCTATGTGACGGTCTCATTAATGGTGCATGTATTATGTAGACCACATCTACAATTAGGCCATCCTTACGGTTTTTATAACACATTTTTATGCATTAAATGTAAGCAGTTTGCTTTTAGCCTAAATCCCATACACGCATTGATCAATGATACTTGTCAATGCCATGGCAAAAATTTTGGTCGAAAAATGGGTACTGCACCAAACTGAGCCTAAGATTTTTGCGCACCGCTCACATGTCACAGAAAATCTTAATTTGAATATAGCAGCAATGTTTTGCCGTGAGAAGGGGCGCGCTGCAAAGAACTCGAATACAATTGAAGTAGGTTGAGTTATTTGGTCGGATGGCTTGGTCTCCAAACCTAGCAGCTGGATCCGTTGCTGCAGCCGGATGTTTGCTTCCCCATAAAAACGCATGCTCCTTGTACGTAGCAGTGCATCTACCTTAACACCAGGCCCTTGTAACCAAAGATTGTGGCTGCTCTAACCACCACATAAATTCGTCACAACCGTGAGGATAAACGATGCAATTAGCGTTACACATCCGAAGCCATAAAGAACGCCGAGGTTTGTGAGATTAAAGTAAAAAGTTCTGGAGTACTGGAGTAGCCTAAGTCCTTCATGGCTAAGGCCCGTCCCCACAACCAAAAAACGTGCCGCCTTCTATGGCCGCCATAGAATAGCGCCTTCTGCGCCCTAAGGCGGCCATTACACAGGCGCATTCACGTGCCGATCAGAAGAGGCACGTGCGACCGGTGCCTGCTCTCCGTACCTGCCTTTTCATGACTATAATGTGCTGCTCAGATAAAGAACTTGCTTATGAATTATATAAAAACGAAAAACATATATAGTCGGTAATTAAACAAAGTAGGCTGAGTCCAGTGATAACAATGGAGGGGTAGGTTTTTGGAGCTTCGGCTCGAATCCTATGATTTACCAAAATTGACACCCGTGCACTCATTAGTATCGCCGTTGCAGATTTCTTTGACGACTTTGATCAGCGATGGTAGTCAACACCGTTGTCACTGCTGATGATGCTCCCAATATCAATCGCCTCTGCCAAGTGCCACTGTGGTTTATGCAGATGTTAGACGTGCCCTCAGAAAAGACGCTTCGCTTCGCTTCATGAAAGCGGCACCCACGCCAGCAAATTGTGCTGCTCTCTCCCGCGCTAGATGGCTTAAGATCGCACACGATGTACGTCGCCGTAGCCATTTCGAAGTTCGCTATATGACTTCATCGGCAGCCCGAAGCGGCTTTGGTCATTCATTATATCCCTCAAATCGTCTCGCCTCTGAATTGCATCCTTGGTTCACAAAGGATGTCCATACTGCAGTCTACTGAGTCGCTCAAATTTGTTCAGCAAATTATTCAGTTAAAAATTTGTGCATCATGATTTTGGCACAGAGCCTGAAACCACGACTTTTCACGCCTTTAACGTGACGCAATGTAAGGTGTCAAATTTCAGCTCTCAAGCAGAGCAAAATCTGTTCGTAATCGCACAACACAAGGTGTCGGCCAAAATAGCCGTGAAAAGTAAAACGGCTTTCCTTCGCCTTCTTTGGCATCGGTATAAATCGCTCCCGAGCGCCCAAAACAGGTTGGCGGACTGACATGCGATGCGATGCGTTCGAGCGATGCGATACTATCCTGGATCGAGCGACATGTAGCATATGGTGAGCACGACGCAGAGAGAACCTGTCAAAAGGCACTCCGAGCCCCTCAAGGGCCGCACAATAGCACGAAACACCAAGAATGTCCGAGCCGCCAGTCACGTGGCCGTGTCGGACGAGTGACGCTCGTTCAGACGGTGACCTTCGCCGCAGCTGCCCGAGAGACGGGATGAGTTCTCGAGGTCGTTAGTGACTGCCGCGCGCGCACACGAGAACCATGCAGGACTACGTGGTGATCTCGCTCGTCGTTCTCGTCGGTTTCGGTAAGCTTTTGAAAGGCGTCAAGGCTCAGGAGGTGTGTGTACCGGCGATGCACGTTCGTTATTCATGCGCAGTGCATATACATATACGCACATGCCAACAAAGGGCTATAAGAGTGCACCAGCTGTGATGAACTGCATTGGTCTCGGTTTAGCTCTGGAGCGTGTCACATCAACAGGTCATTCTAATGTAATATTATTTGTAGCTAAATGTCATGTCTTAATTTATCCGGATCGCACATATTTTTGACTCGTTGTTCGGCCCGGCATGACCTATTGACGTGTGACATGGCGAACCACAAAGACCCATGAGTGGAAGGCCGGGCGCTACAATCGCGGTCGGAGAGAAAGGGGTGTGGTACGTCTGCTTGATGACTGCGGCTCGTCTGCTTGCGTCTGCTGGCTGGCTGTGGCTCGTCTGCTGGGTGACTGTGGCTCGTCTGTTGGCTAGCTGTGGCCGGCCTGTTGGCTGGCTGTGGTTCGGCCGTTGGGTGGCTGTGGTTCGTCTGTTGGCTGCCTGTGGCTCGTCTGTTGGCTGGCTGTGGCTGGCCTGTTGGCTGGCTGTGGTTCGGCTGTTGGCTGGCTGTGGTTCGGCTGCTGGGTGGCTGGCTATGACTCGTCTGCTTGATGACCATGGCCGGTCTGCTTGATGGCTGCGGCTCGTTAATTTGATGGCTACGTCTCGTCTCCAAGCTTTGTTGCTGTCAGACCCGGCAAGTGTCTCTGGCAATGGAGGACGTGTTGGGATTCAGGGGATAACCGCAGTAAGAAATTGCAGAGTGCAAATCACGACAGAAAACATGTCAATCTACGTTTCCTCAATTTTCTGTTGTCTCGGCATTTCCAAACTGCAGCCGCCTGATCCCCTGGTGTTTTCAACGGCCGACCGGGCGCTGTGCAGCACTGTCTCCGACTAGGCCGGCCTTGAATTCGGCTGAGGTTTTGTTCACTTTCCTTTAAAGCATGACGCTGCGCAAGCTGCCCAAGGACCTCGCCGCCGGCGGGCGGGCTTATGGTCGTCCGGCCCAAGATCGCCTGAGGCCCGGAGCATGCAGCTCAGCACTGCAGAGTATCGCAGACGATTGTCGAGCCAACAAAGCTTCCCTGACATTGACTAACCACAAAAAAACGCCCGAGGGCCGCCAGTTATGCCGTTGAACTTCATTTTCATCTTAGTATCGAACCATTTACAGCTAAATGAACACAATGGCACACATCTTGCATTTTTGGCCATATTCGTGTCCAGAACTTGAGTCCGACCTCAATATTTTTGCAGCTCCTGAGGCTGGGTCCAAGTGGAGATACTGAAGATTTAGCCAGAGTTGGGGCCAAAGCCTTGGTTTAGATCCGATCTCCGGTCCTAAAGTTCTTGGTCAGAATCCTTCAGTCTTCTACCGGGTCGGGCAAGTCAAACCCCTTATCGTACCAGTTGTCACGAGTTGAGAATAGGGTTCCCCAATGGTAAGCAATTTTACGAGGGTAAACTTACACCTAGGCCAAGCTAAGCCAACATTTACCTAAGTATAGCCTTGCTTGACGTCTGACTAAGAAATGTGACAGCTGTGGAATTACAGGGATGCGCTGATAGCCTTGACGAAGGTCTGTGGGCCTGGAGCTAATAATACACCTTGCGCAACGTACCCCAGCCTTATTCAACCCATAAACAGGCCCGATTGACCCAAGCCGAAAACAACAGAAGCGAAACAAGCCCACCCAGTCCAACACAGCGCAATGAGAACGGAAATGGCCGTACGGAATGGCCATACGTTTCAATGTATCACGCAGTATACATTGTATTATATCCTTCACTGTATCACGCAGAGGTGTGAAACAGAGGATCGAAGGCCCCGTGGTCTCCCTCCAACGCGACGGGCGTAGTCTCGCAACGTGGGCGAGCTGGGACGGGGGTAGGGCTGGCGGAAGGGGACTGAATCGTTAAAAATGAGGAACCCCTCCCTCGCCGAATGCCCCAACGAATGTATTTCTCCCCGGATTTTTGTTTTCCAAAGTTGGAAAGTGGGTGCGGAGAAGGGCTGTAGTCTCCTAATTAAATTTGCAGCTATACCCCTCCTCTCACGCCGTTAACATTGTAATGCACGGAGAAAATCAGCCTGAGAGTGGGCTTGCCCCCCCCCCCCCCCTTAACACACGTCTCCCTTTCTAACGCACCTGCATCTCTGGTGGCTGTGCTGTGAATCAACATGCTTGTAGCGACCAGCCAGATGCAAATTGCTATTGATACCCGACACGAGGTAACATGTTATCTATTGATACCCCACATGAGGTGACATGTTATCGGCGTCTTCTGATGACAGTGAATTCTTACCGATGGTCAGCTTCCAAACGAGGCTCGATTATCCGGAGGCTGGCGACCATTGCCGACTGCTGGCAGCCGCAGCAGAACGTAGATGCTGCCAGATTCGCTAAATGCTTGTTCGTGAGACTGCGACGGGCAGGTTTCCGTCATCCGGGGAACCGGTTCCCATAATCTGCCTAAGACCTCACCCGGACCAGGGCTTAGGGGGCCGGACAAGGACTCGATGGTAATGTATGATAATTCCCGTCTTGCCCTAGAATATCAGCAACACAGTGTTCAGTGAGCTTAGGTAAATAGCAGGTGGCTCTCAATTGTCTATGACCTTTGCATGTGCCCTTATCCTCGCATCGTCGCACTCGTGGTCATGACCAAAGTCGTTAAACATCCCGGATGCACGCGAATTACGTCAACGAATGCGATGTGCTTTCGGTGACATCAGACCCCTCGGCCTGGCCCGCCAAAGCTCTGCACCTGCCGCTGTGCCGAGGCTTATGGCTCAGCTTACAAATAAGCCACTTCTTGGGTTTAGTTCCGATCCTATGCCAGGATCCCGAATGCTGCAAATTGATCGCAGACGACGGCTAGCAGGGATGGAATTTCACCCTAGCAAAACTGAGCTGTTACATATGTCCCATCAGTGGCTCAGTTTCACAAAATGAGCTGAAGTGGTTGGGCTGAGCCGTGAAAAATGACCCAACTTGCCCCAAAATATGCCAACAAACAGGTCTCGCTGCATATTTGGCCCGCTCTCTTTCCTTAAAGATGGAAGGGGGGGGGTGTGCTAGAGTTCAAGACGGAAGGGTGGGGGCTGAAGCTCCGCCCCTCAACTCAAAAGCAAACTACGCCTCTGTGCCTCATGGTGCAGCAACCGCAAATGTTTCGCGGTTCGCTTATGCAGAGATCCTGCCGAAGTTAAACACGAACCAAAACCAAATAGGAAAGCCTGGGACTTTTTAGTCCACTGTCCATTATGATGCATGCTTGTCATGTGACCATGGAAGTGGTAGCGTGTGAAGCTGCCCGTGCTCTTTACACGCGCGCGGGTGGGCGGCCAATCTGATTCCCCTCCTCCCCCCCCCCCCCCCCCCCGGAAGGTTTTCCTGAATGATCTCCGTACGGCGCGGCAAAGCCGCGCCAAACATTGCATAATTGTAAAATACTGAATAGCATGTAGCAAATATAGCTTAAAAAGACTATTAAAAATACAATATGTGGCAAATATACAGCAAAATGTAGGATATTGAATATCATGGCACCAAACAAATTAGATGTACTTTGAAGGATCGCTAATCTTTAACAACTCGAAGTCAGGCCATGGCTGTCAGCGAAGGCCATTTCCAAGGAATTCTTCAATTTGATGCGACACTGGAGTGCTGGACGAAGGCATACATCTTTGAGATAGTTTCCTAGCAATAAAACAATTGACTTATGGCTTACAACCGATTTCATTGACCGCGGGTGCTGTCTGAACGCCAGACCTAGCTCAAAATTTGCTTGCTCTATGACTGGAGACATTGCTCCGTGAGGCAGTTTTCGGTGCTCATTTCGGATTTATTGACGACAGGGACTGCACCAGTCTTGTTTCATGGACTTTCTAAAGGTCAAAATAGGTCATTGGCCTAAACTGACCCAGGTCAGCATTTTGCTTGCCCAAACATCTCGCCAAGCGTAGTTCCTGACGCCTAATTTAACGGCAAATAGGAGCAATCTGACAGGCGTTTGGTCACTTTGGTTTTCTAGAAGTAAAAATAGGTTGACAAATAGACACCATTGAAGTTTTTTTGGAACAGACATCTAGGTCGCGGTGGTTGTTTGCAGCGGTCTTGGGTCACTCCGAACACTTACATGTAGTTTCATTTTTTTAGCCCTATTTAAGCGCTAGGTCATGACGTAGCAATCCCAAATTTTGGCAAAGAGAGTTCGCGTACAGACCAACGCACCCTGTGGATTTGGAGTCTCTGGCTATCTTAGTTTTCGAGGTTTCGGAGAGGGGAAGGGATGTTCAAATTGACCCCCCCCCCCCCCCTCCCACCAGAGCGAAGGGTATTCAATCGCCCAGCCGGGTGCGTATCTGCGAATGCAGTTCACTGCTGTGTTATACCGTGTTTGGCATGTTCATCGCGTGGGAAGCTCGGCTCGGCACCTTCAGTATGTCCCGGAGAAATGACGATCTTGCCAGGAGCGTCACCAGCGCATCAAAGAAGGCCGGCTAGGAAACACTGCTGGAACGGTTGATGCGGTCAGAGGGCGGCACTCATAACTATGTTCATGTCATGGATGCCCAAGAGCATGGAAAATATGCAGTCCTTAATATCGAAGAGATAAAACCTTCGAGCGCCGGGAGCACTCTTAGGCCATAACACTGCGATGATGCGGGACAGAGAAGTAAAGGAAGGATCTCCTATTGTATTGTACCTGGTTACTTGAAGTTCTAAAATGCGATAGATTGACTTCCATGGTCCCTCTTGTAGGTACCATCCTGCGGCGGAGCAGATATGTTTCAGACAGCCGCTGTGCGACAGTGGAAACCGCTTCGACAAGGAGAGACAATGCCAGTGAATCTTCAGAGAGGAAGTGAATGTGAATGAAGGACATCTGAGTTCTGTCCTCTGGAGTCCGGTTGTCATGTCCACAGCGGGAGTGCTGGCTAGTGTCAGCATCTCATTGCATCTCATCTCATTCTCAAATATGACGGTTGAGAAAGGTCATCCGTATGTCTACGTTGTGAACGCTGCCGTTGAGCGGGTACAGCACCCTGGCCACTGGGTGCCAGGTACGTGCAATCGTGCAATCGTGCAATCGTGCCTCGAAGCTGGGCTTATATGGTCCGTCGTTGATGATCAATTGGCCGCTGTCCAAGAGGGACAGGTTGAGGTAACGGTGGCCCTGCCATGGCATCGCTGAAACTCTCTTATCAGAAACTGGCTAAAACATTGGGCTATTAAAGGTCTTTGAAGATATTGACGCAAGCATCAGATATGATGAAATAATTTCTCTCAAACTTTTGTCAAACTTTTAAGTGGAAAAGCCTACCTTCTCTAGACAACACAATTCCCCTGTTTAATAATCATGCTCCTCAATACATAAATGGTTGATTACGTTATCGTACCTTGCAAAGCGTCAATTTAGAGTCAATTTAAGCCCGTTATAACTGGAAATCGTGCTCAAGAGCGCCAGATATTAAGTACTCGACAGTCATATTCTTCTTAGCCTTTATTGCCGCATGGCTAATGTGGTGGCCGGTTTTGAATGATGTTGTATGGATACCTGGGTAGCTTTGAAAAGTCTCCTCGAAATAGTCTGCACATCTTTGTGGGCGTGTGGCTCGGAAACTAGAGGAGGTTAAGTCTTAAGAAGGGCATGACTGTGAACTGCACCGAATGATCCTCAATATGTCTATTTCTGTTCAAAACCCTGAGCAAGTGTGGAACACTCCCTTTAGGTCTTCCCTTATACCATAGAATTTAATCTTATGACCTTATTAGGATGTAGATATTCAAACGGTAGTCGAAAATCTTGTCCAGCAGCACCCAGGTGTTGCAAAACTGGTATCTGTGTCTGTCATTTGACAAATGACGTCACTGCCGACGCAAAACACTAAAAATTGACCGGAGCTTTCGCATAATTTCAAGGCCTAATAGCGCTTGTAATCACTGTATAGTCAGCAAAGCCTGCGACTGGCAAACGACAGAGTCTTCACCTGTGCATGGAACCCTACAATGATGACTGCTGTCAACGAAACTTGGGTTGGTGGCCATATTAGGCTTGGGTCAAGCAGAGCCAAGATCATGTCAACTCATCGACGATCATTTTTCCACTGTTCTGGTCCACATAAAAAGGCGGGCAATGGTTTAGAAATGCGTGATTTTAGTTATAAGGACTTGCTTTTCAAAAAATGGACTCGCAAGCCACTTTGTTTTGACACAAGTTGATATCAAAGACCTTCTGTTGGTTGTTTGTCGCAACATCGCACAGTGTGACTAACATCTACTGGTACACAGTCAAACCGATCGAGGAATGATGGCAATGCAATACAAAGTTAAAAGGAAGCTACAACTTGCCGCATGAGCAGGTAAAATATCTGTGTAAGCATTCGGTGAGTATGTCATAATTTTGTGGCGTAACCTGGCGTGGGGACGCCTGCCAAAAGCATCGAACTGATCCCCAAATGAAAACTGAAACCATGGCGCACCTACCTAGAGCGGCTTCGATTTTCCCAGAAACTCGTTGGGGGATGGCCTTCTACCTCGGTGGCGGACGCGGGGCAAAAGCGAACGTGTGCCTGTGTGTCTGTTTTGAGGCCAGACGCTGGCGCGCAGCTCATTCATCTGACACAAACTTATCGTGAAGCCGTCTGTGCGGCACAAACGGCTGCGCGGATCATGACACACTGCACGCACGTCAGATTCAGCCTCTGTGACGGTCCGCGAACAAAGTTACGCCTTTTCGACACCGTTGTCGGACAGAGCGCGTGCTTAAAGCGGGTACGTTTCGACCTCCAACAGCAAGGCACTTTGTCTTTTTGCCACAAGGAGTAAGAGTTACTGAGCGACATGTAGGAGGCCTGAGCTGTTAAAAATACCGATTCCTTTCTTTTAATAAACGACCTTATTTTCAAAGACTCAGCGTTTGCAAATTCCGGTCCTCGCTCATAGCGCCTTTTTATTTTGATGCACAGCTGGTTTGGCGTTTAATGCTGAAAGCATACAGCACGGTCAAAGGCAGACATGAATTAATTAACCCCACTGGGGCCAGGAGCCAATGTTTTTTCAGTGCAACATGGTCATACCACTAATGGGGCCTGTGCGGCCGGAACCGGAACACATGTTGGGATTAGTTTCTTTATATTTCAACCGCACAATGTTAGGGACGTTGGCTGCCGTGTGGCATTCGTCGCCATCAGCGGCCGCGTACTGGACGCCGGCCAGCACGCCACCTGCCACATCGGAATCGTTTATTTCAGCCGTCGGGCAGGAAGATTCTGCGCCACTGCCCAGCTGCAACAACCCTGAGGAGACAAAGTCTTTCATGGACCCGAGCGGCTGTGACAAGGTGAGGCCGGCAGGCTGCTACACGTGCACCCAGTCTCCCATGTGCGCCCATTCTCTGCAAGCTTATTGTAAAATGTACTTGGTTGCGTGGCGATGGTGGAGCCGTAGCATTATTCAACGGAGGTCGCATTGGCACAGTTCTGTGCGTGCCTCTGTCAAGTGCATGTGGCAGCAGCATGTGCAGTTAGCGTTATTCGATGGTGCGTCACAGTTTATGAAACTACGGACACTGAGAAGCTACCACTCTGCACCCTCCGCAAAACCATTCCCGTTCGGGTGGCCGGTGACCACCTGGTTGGCCTCCCCCGCAGCTGCTGCGCTCGCCCTCACTGGCCGTCTCCCCTTTGCAGTACATGCTCTGCTCGAACGGCACCCTGTCGTTCGAGACCTGCGAGAACGGTCTGCTCTACTCGGGCAAGGGGGCCGTCCACGAGTTCTGCGACTACCACTGGAGGGTCGACTGCGGCGAGCGGCCGTTCGAACGTCAGTAGACGAGTCGTCGCAGCGCGCGCGCGCAGAAAATAGCGGCGCAAAACAACACGGTTCGACTATAAGACGAGAGGGAGTGGAGGAATGTTTTCCGAACGATGTCCGGAATATAACATTCCGAACGTGCAATGAGCGATCAGAATTCAGAGACACAACCCGAAGCGGAACGCAAATACTGCATAATGCATTTGCGCTGCGTGTGAGGCGTGCAACAACGCGAAACGAGGGCCCTTGCCGAGCAGAAGCATCGCTACTATTGACACTGCCCTGTCCTGTAGCCCCTCCCCCCCCCCCCCCCATCTCCCGCCCTGCAGCCCCACATCTGTTTTCTCATCCATCGTGCACATAATCATGTCGACCAGCGACATAGTGCCCTGGTGCAGATGCTTTTTCCTTCTTTTTGCTTGCAGTTTTTTCTTTGCACTATGATGAATCTGCCAGCCTTCTTAATAAGCGTTGTAAGTATTTGTGTAATGGGCGTTGCACGATTATTCACAATCGACGTGCCTTAAAACGCCAAATCATCATAATAATTAGCATGCACCAAACGAAAGGCAGACAACCCGTCACGATACTCTCATCACAAGGACATTTTGATCTGCTGCGTTAGGGCCGAATGCAGGGTCCAAATGTAGCAATACTCAGGTGCTTGTCATTTTGGTGGCTGACAACAGAATGTAATTTTCTGCTCGCTCCAGAAAAAAAGAACTGGGACAATTGCCAAGCCGAATCTCTTTCCCTTCTTCCAGGTTTGCTCAGTTCATAAAATAATTTCGTTTGTTTCCTTTTTATGATCAGCGTGTCATCACTTTTCTTCGCTTCCACAACTCGCATTGATAGGTTTAACCTGCCACCGCATGACTATCATTTTGCAACCTTTATAAAAAGCTTAAGTTCAGTCTTTGTGCCTGGATGAAACACGTATTGGAATTTACTTTTCTGCTGCACTACAACGAACGGTCAAAACCCTTAACACAACCAGGTCAGAGGCTTGGAAGAATTTCTCCAAGCGCTCGCCGTAGCGTGCACCATACAGCAGTCTTCGTTTGGTCGCCGCCGCAGCATGTACGGTCCCAGCCGAACTCTTTGAGTGGCCTGCTGTCTGCCGCAGTCGATTGTCTGTTACCCGCAGTGGCCGACTCTCTATGGCCCACACTGATTGTCCGATATGGCCCGCAGTGACCAACGCCCCCTCGCCTGCGGTGACCGACGCTCTCTCGCCTGCGGCGACCGACGTCCTCTCGCTCGCAGTGACCGACGCCCTCTCGCCCGCGGTGACAGACGCTCCCTCGCCCGCGGTGACCGACTCCCACTCGCTCGCAGTGACCGACGCCCTCCCGCCTTGCAGTGACCAGCTCCCAACTGCCTGCAGTGATCCCACTGCCCACCGCCCACAGTGAGCGAATCCCGCGAGGGGGCGTGCCCCTATAGCTTCGGCGTGTTCCCGTCGGGCGAGGGGTGCGCCGACTACTTCCTCAAGTGCGCGTTCGGCGAGGTGGAGCCGGAGATATGCGACGAGGGCCTGGCGTACGACGACCGAAGCCACGCCTGCAACTGGCCCGACCTGCTGCCAGAGTGCTCCATCGGAGACGCCGAGCGTGAGTGACGCGGCATGGCACGCTGGGTGGGAGGGGCGTGACACTCAGAGGAGGGGCGTGACACTCAAAGGAGTAGCGTGACACTCAGAGGAAGGGCGTGACGCTCAGAGAGAGAGGGGGGGGGGGGTGGGCGTGACGCTCAAAGGAAGGGCGTGACACTCAGGGGAGGAGCGTGCCACTCAGAGGAGGAACGTGACGCTCAGAGAGGGGGGGGGCGTGACGCTCAAAGGAGGGGTGTGACACTCAGGGGAGGAGCGCGCCCCTCAGAGGAGGGGCGTGCCCCTCAGAAGAGGAGGGGCGTGACTCAGAGCAGGAGCGTGACGCTCAGAGCAGGAGCGTTACACTCGGAGCAGGTATGTTACACTTAGAGGAGGAGCGTGACGCTCAGAGGAGGGGCGTGACACTCAGTGGGATACATGACGTTCGGCGGGAGGAATTTGACTATCAAAAGAGGCGTGGGACGCTCAAGGAAGGGCGTGATAATCAGGGGAGAGTCATGACGCTCAGTGAGAAGCGTGACCTCCAGTAAGAGGGGCTTGACGATAAATGAGGAGTGTGGCGCTCAGAGGACGAGTGTGACTCTCAGAGGAGTGTGACGCTCAGAGGACGGGTGTTATTCTCAGAGGAGTGTGACGCTCAGAGAACGAGTGTGACTCTCAGAGGAGTGTGACGCTCAGAGAACGAGTGTGATTATCAGAGGAGTGTGACGCTCAGATCAGAGGACGAGTGTGATTCTCAGAGGGGTGTGACGTTCAGAGGACGAGTGTGACTCTCAGAGTAGTGTGACGCTCAGAGGACGGTTCGACGCTCCGTAGGAACGAAACATTGAGTGTGGGATGTGGCGCCGGGTGGAAGCTTGACCCTGAATGAAATATGTGAGTGGTAACGTCCATAGACCCGGCAACCGAGCGGTTCATGAAGCGGACATCTGAGCAGGAAATGCCGCCGGCAGGCTGTACTAATGCACCCCCTGCTAACTCTACTGACACAGATCTACCTGGCATAGAGCCGGGATAATTCTGAGGACTTGCCTGTAATCGTCATAAGCCACTCAGGCTTCGGTTGAGCTACCGTCGTCGCGTGACTCGTCCCGCTGACGGCGCGGTGGCATAACGGTGCGCGCTGCTTCCATCAGATCTGGTCGGCTTCTCGTGCCCGGCCGAGATCCCGGTCGGCTCCGCTTCGATCCGCTTCGGCCAGTTCCCGCGCTTCGCCACGGGCGAGTGCGACCGCGTGGTGACGTGCGTCAACTACTACCCGCGCCTGATCAAGTGCTCGGCCAGCCAGTCGGTGGACGACAACTCGCTCACCTGCGTGCCCAGCGAGCTGGTCCCCGGCTGCGGGTGAGTTTGGCGGCGCGTGAGCGTAGCGGCAGGTCGGCTTCCGCTGGCACGTGGGCGTTTGGTGACTTCCGGCGGGGGAGGAAGCAGGCGTTATAAGTTAACGAAGGTGATACAGTTCAGTGTCGTCACTCGTTTCCTTGCGTATTGAGTAGGCGGTGATAAACACCGCTAGAATCTCGGAAGTCGACGCCCTCTGGTGGTGGCCGCTACCGTCTTGTTTCAACAGTTTGTATATACAAATTGTCTGCTTGCCTTCCCCCAGAACGCCAGTTTGTATCCATATCATTGGTTAGACCTCCCATAGTCAAATTCGGACGATGCTTCTGTCAAGACGTATTTTGTCGTTATAATATTGCTTCCATATTTTCAGGGCCAGGAAATAGTCCGATCGCTGCAATTGCGCCATCTACGATACAAGATGCCTCGGACGGAGTCGGCGGCGTTGCCGAAGTGAAATATAAGAATCGTTGCTCATAGCGTTGCCTTTAGGTGTAAGAATACTACGCATACCCTAACAAGTGATGAAAACTTCAAAGGGAGACTCCGAGGAAGAAAACTTAGTTGCATACGCGATACAAAGGACGTTGCCGCATCTCCACTTGATGTCCGGGTGCGTCGTCTTTCCTTTTGCTAGCCATTTTCTCTTCCGTTGCGATTGGTTTCGAAAGTGTCGACATGTGCTTGTCCGATTAGAGGTTAGTACTACTATGTGCGCCGCGGTACCATGATATTCAGCATGGCGATGATAGTGTCGGTCTTGCGTCCCATGATTCGTTTCACTCAATACTGGTACCAAAACATTGCACCTCACGTGCAGCAGCAAAAGTATGCGCCTGGGGAATAGAAAGATGCATTTAAATTGAAAGGTCAAATACTGCAGTCTCTTGCGCGTGTGGTCCAAAGAAAGCCCCCTTTCGATAGGCCCAGTCCGTTGAGAGTTCTTTGATGCCATCCTGTAACCAAATGTCGAGCGTGTCTGTGTCTGAGCGTTCAGCAGCTGTGTGACGTCAGCGTTACCAGGATTTCAGATAACACAATGTGATCGCCGATTGGAATGGGGCTCACGTAGGATGCTGACAAATACATCTTCAATCCTGGCGTCCGTGACGCGGCAGCAATAGCATATTTTGAACGGATGAACGGCGATGAAATACATGTACGAACTACCACGTTTTGCGAGTTGCATGCGACAGTTTCCTAGCAGGGAAAATGCCTTCTTTCGCACTTCCATCGGGTGCAGGGCAGGCTTACGCCTATGTCAAACCGGCTGCTGTGCGTTCTATTTCGTTTCTGAGTGGCCACTTCACCTCGCTCCCCTGTCGCTGCGACCCTGTTTGAGTGTACGGATAAAATCACTAATGTGGCCCTCTCTGTTGTGTCCCTAAACGATTCGCTCAAAAAGCTCATATCTTTATTCTTGTCGTGCACATTTGCAACATTTGGGCTGCTGGTCCCGTTAATGTTGGGGTTCCGGTCAAAAACCGAACGAAAATAGCCAAATGAAAATCGGTGGACTGAAAAAGCCCGAACGAAAATAGCCAAATGAAAATCGGTGGACTGAAAAAACCCGAACGAAAATAGTCCAAACAAGTCAACCGCGACAGCAGTCAGATGGGAAAAAAGTCGAAGTACAAAGTGAAAGAGATAGAAGTCGGCAGGGATAAAAGCTTTATTGAAACGAAATCAAGGGCTTAACACGCGCCTGGATGGCCGGCTAGATACCCTTCGCTCGGGTGGGGGGAGGAGGGTCAATTTGACCCCCTGAGATCTCGGTAGCTAAGAAAAGCTAGAGACGCAAAATTTACGGAGTGTTTTAACATGTACTTGAACGCACTGAGGTCAAAGTTTCAGATTCCTAGGTCATGGCCTTCGGGTCAAAAAAGGCAAACAAGGTCAAGTTCCAGGTTGGTCTCCAAAGGGCCCCCAGAATCTAGATAACTGTTTCTAAGCAAAAGATCGTATGCTCATTCAAAGTCAGTGACCTTGTTTGACCTTTTGTAGGTCAAGGTGACCAAAATCATGCAAGGTTGCCTTGGGTTTTGCATTCGACTAGGCGAGAAAGATTACGCTAGGCAGTATGTTCTCAAAGCAAATGTTGACCTGGGTCATTTTAGGCCAATGACCTATTCTGACCTCTAAGAAGTCCATGGAAGATGCATAATGCGGTTCCCACTACCAATAAATTCGAAATGAGCTCCAGAACTATCCCATACAGCAAGCCCGAGAGTGACAAAACAAGTGGGTTTTGACCTTCGTGTGACTTTTATACCTGACCTTAGGGCAATTTAATTTGCTCATTTGACTGTTGTGTTGTCCAAGAAATCATCTCAGAGATGTATGGCTCCGCCTAACACTCAGTTGTTAGATCAGATTGAAGGATTCCCTGGAAATTGCCTTCGCTGAAACCATGGCCTGACTTTGACTTGCCATAGGTCAGTCACCATACAAGGTACACTTAAAGTTGTTATGCTAAACGATCCGCTATTAAATTGTCTACAGCTCCTCAAAATTGGGCGCGGATACGCCACGTATTTCGGAAACAATTCTGGAAAACCTTCGGGGTGTCAATTTGACCCCACCCAAGAGCGTGTTAAAGTCAAAAGGGTTACACGGGATAAAATTGAATTCGGAAAAAGCTGAAAGAGAAGTGCAATTCATAGTGGTAAAAGACTGGAAAACGCTCCAAAACGACAAAACTCGAAAGGGCTCCGATACTGGGTACCAAACGGAACTAGGTACTAAAATGGTACCGGAAAAGTCGACGTAAGCAAGAAAGGCATGAACTTTCTGTTTTTTCGGCATTATAGGTTAAGAGTCCCTTTGTTGAAATCTTGTTCTTCAATATACCACAAGGCATGGGTTAAAGGATGACAGAATAAGCATTGGTTACATGGGCGGCACCCGACGTTTCAAGCTGCGCTTATGATCATAAGCCCATATTTACCTCGGATTTGGGCCCGCCCACGCTCAACCGGAAACGCTCTTGGAGGGAGGCTAGCCTCAGAGCGCTCGCGACGGAACCATACGGAACGCACCCTTAGACTATCAGCGGGTCGATCTGGTATGGGCACCCTGGTAGCCTCTATCTACGCCCATGAAATCATCTCCAATAACTTGCTGGGACGGTTGCGAGCAACACAGACGCCCGCGGTAAGAGGCCGCGCACAGCGGCGGCACCCGTCGCAAATTCCGTTTTTGTCGTTAGTCCTGGCGTTGGATAGACTTGTGCCCTGTTTCCAATGTTGGGTCCTGGTTTTCACTCCCCCTTCTGGAGGCGATATCTTCGATCCTTGTTTCCGGCCGGTCAATTTATTAACCCCGCACCCTGATTCCTGGATCCTGTTGGCCGTTTTGCAAACATAGACCATCGGTTCTTTGTCTTCACTGGCTCTTTTCCAAATAACAATAAGGGCTGCTGGGTCCTAATGTTCCTTCATAAACACCAGAACCTGATTCGTGGCTCACATCGGCTTTCTAAAAAACATGATACCCTAGTTCCCTGGCTTCCACCACGTTCTTTAACAAACACAAGACCTTGGTTTGGAGCGGTTTCCAAATGTTTATCCCTGTCAGCACTTGTCGCCTTCAGCCTTTCCGATTCAACTTTTATCCCGGTCAACACTTTGTCTTTCGACTTTTTCCGATTGGGATTCCATTCCTGGCGACTTGTATCCCTTTGACTTTGGCCTTCGATTTTTGTCCTTTGTGTTTCGCCAATTTTGACTTCATTCTTATCGATTTGTCGTTCGACTTGATCCATTCGACTTCTTGCCCAGACGCCAGTACCATCGATGCAGTACGTCGCTGACGACCAGCCCGTTCAAGTGCACTGTACGGTCGGCACCGAATCCAAGAATTCTGATCGGTGGGGCCCCCTCCTGAGATTCCAACCAATGGGTCACCAGTCCTACAGAAAAGCTCAGATCTTGCTCAGATTTTGGCTGACCCAATTTACTTCATCGCTGAAAATGAAATACACGGGCTTGGCTTGGTGGGGTGTTCCACCTTTGGGGCGTATCTCAAAAACATACTCGAGTGAAACTTCAGGACGAGTTTCGTTTCATCATAGCACTGGGTAGTGTCGCTGCAGCACTGGCAAAATATAATAAAGATATCGATTTTAAACAGTTTAGAGCCCATCTTACGCTGATAATGCCTTTCAACAGCACCACGCCCCTTCCACGCAGTCGCGACCACCGTCATGACAACTACCGTGCGCACCTCTACTGGTGCGAATAAAAGAACGTTTGTGATTGGTCCAGCAGGCAAGACATGTTACCGAGGAGCACATTGGTTTAAGTTTGAACCAGTGCTTGGCAGTGGATCATATGATGCTCCCACTCCCAAAACCAAAGGCGCCCCGAAAACCGATGTGGTAGATACGATAGGGGAGAAATGATGCCATGATATAGCGTTTCATTGAATTCGCGGGGAAAAGTTTCATGTCCGCATATTGTTTTGGCTGTACGGAGTTTTTCAAGTTTTCGCAGCATTTAAATCACAAACATGTTGACGCATCAGTGCGTTCACACATCACAGAACAAGCGTTAGAAAGAGCAAGGCGAATGGAATGTATTGCGTAGTTGTGAGAGGGGAGTCCAATAGGATTTGTCGCGCATGGTCGGCTACATCGAATCGAAATTCTGAGCTATTCAGAAGGATTTCGAGAAAACTGGCATTACTGAGCACGACGCGTGTGAGTCTGGTGTAGCAGAAGGTGAAAGGTACAAACAAGGTGGGATGCTCTCTTTAATAGTTGACTTCGGCCTCGATTTCAGGCAGTGAGCATGACGCGTGAATTACGACTTCATTCCTCGCCTCATGCTATTTAGGACCGCTATCTTCGGCTTTTTCATGATCTTTGCCTGCGGTTGTGACTTCAGTTCACGAGAACGGTCTTGTCCGTCCTTTTACCCCGACCAGCGCACGGCCGGAGGTCCGAGGCAACCGCGCCCGGCTGGGGGGTAGTTGACCTCCCCCTAGGATCTCCAGCTTTCAGGACGCAGTGTGAGAAAAACAAAGATGCCGCTCTGAAGATCTGGTCAAAACATGAAATATGCACACCATATTTTTTACCCTAGGTTCAATGTGAGGCCACCAGAGTTCACGCAAGGTAAAGGCGGTCGTTCTAATATATGCAGTTAAAACCTATGTTAACACGTCGAGACGGATCTTGAGGGCACGGAAATAGGTGTTGAGACTATGGGGAGTCCACTCTGTTCCCCCAGATGTGTCAGGTTAGATCAGGTCACAGCTCAAAATTGCTGTACCAGAAGTCCACAAGAACGATATTTTTCGCCACAATGTGCTTCTGACTAAGTACATCCCATAATATGCAGCTGTGGATAAACGTATTCCAGACACAAACGTACCATTTCAGGATAGCCTAGAAGTCATCTGAGGTGGGCGCGCAGCCAGGGCATTGGGAAGGGGGGGGGGGGCAAAGAATTG